GTGCAGTGTTGTGTTCTTAGAAGGAAATGTAAATGAGCATCACTTCCAGATAGATTTGATGAAGGTTTCATCACATCAAAGAATCTTGAAGCTGACAACATCCTCCCAGGGTGAGAACATCACAACTCCATCAGTTGACTAACGCTCCAGCACATTTTCCCTTTAACTTTCTGCACCGTCTGCGTTCATCTATCTGCTGTCAGCGGAGCAGATTACCCCCCAGTGAAGCGAGGCGTCTCCTGCACCGCGCTGATAAGGACACAGATTTCCCAGCATACGCAGCTCCACCAGTGGTCTGTTCTAATAGCACTTCTTTAACCGGAGCTTTTCATGCAGTCAGCGCTCATCTGCTCTAATGTACGGAGACATGTGCGTTACGATAAGTTTCAAAGTGCTCACCATACAGTTCTGAGCATCAAAAGAGCGAGCAGGAGGGAGAGAGATTAAAAAAAAGGTATTTTCCATGAAGATGGGTGGGCCATTAATCACTCTTGTTGCTGTTTCACAGTTCTGAATCAGTGGCCGGCCGGCTGGCAAGCCTGCAGCAGATTGTCAAGTGCAGCTGTGTGTACGCCAGCGTGTGTGTGTGTGTGTGTGTGTGTGTGTGTGTGTGTGTGTGTGTGAAGCATGCAAAGAAATGCTGATGCAATATATACAGTAGAGTAAGAGATTTACACACACACACATGCACGTGGGTGGTGGACAGAGAAAGCAGGGAAAGAGGAAAAGCATGAGGGAGAGATCCATGTATTCTAGGATTTACATTGTTCTGAGAATTTTTTTTTTGCAAAGCAACATATAAATCACAAAATGTTATGTTATAATAGTAGATGTTTTGCAATAAATAAATAAATCAATAATTGATTCGATGTTTCTTTTTCTCATAAAGAACTGTTTTCAATATCAGCATCATATGGAACTCAATGACTCTTCAATGACATTATATTAAACTAAAATATTATCTTATGGAGTCCTATGAGACATATAAAGATTTGATTATTGCATCTTAAGTAACAAAGATTCTGTGGTATCAAAAGGTATCAAATGAAAATTATAAAGATTTGTTTATGGAATCAAATGGAACTTATACAGATTTGATTATGGCATCATATGAAACATAAAGATTATCTTATAGAATCAACTGGAACTTATAAAATTCACTTATGGAATTGTATGAAACTTATTACGATTCACTTACGGCATCATATGAAACTCTGTTATAAAGATTCTGTTATGAAATCATATGATTCAAAGATTTGCTTAAAGCATCAAATACATCTAATAAAGGAAATATATATTAATTACACTTTTTAAAAGATTCTCTTATGGAACCAAATGGAACTTAAAAAGATTTGCTTCTGTCATCATATGAAACCTATAAGCATTCTCTTATGGAATCATATGAAACTTATAAAGATTTGGAGGACTCTTAAAACTAAATAAATAATTTATCACAGCTCAGGATAGTCACTATAGTGAAGGGTTTGGGACTGAACACATATTTGTTGTACTATCAGCCAATCATGGTTTTGTTCAGGTGACTTGCTCAACAACAACACTAAAAAAAAGTGTGTCTAGAATTGAATGTCTGTGGGTAAAAATGCCATACTTCTGTTAACTATACACTGTTGAACAGATACCTGTACCTTGTTTGTCTTTGTTGTTATAGATGTAGCTGAGAAGTTCTGCATTGGCCTGGAAGCAGTACACTTCTCTGCTCTGCACACCTCCACCACACAAACCCGTCTGATTCCCACGCCGCCGGTCCTGCTGGCTGAGCAGTGCGTCAACACGACATTCGCTCCATTCAGTGGTCCGCCAGGCATAACTGAAATTAACATGAAATACAGGCTATTATGTTCTGAATCTGTGCTTTGAGTCACCCATACTGTTGCTTTAATAAATCTTTTTAAACATTTCCAAACAACAACATCAATCCATGTGTCACTGTCATGTACATACCCAAACAAATGTTTAAATGAATGCTTTAAAAGAAAAATAAATAAATAAAATGGATCTTGGAAGAATTTGACATGAAATGTCTGAAATCATATTAAGACTTCTGACTTGCAGACCTAACAGGCAGTGCTGTTGTTAACTAAAACTAAACATTTTTACTATTAAAATATTTCAATAATATATTTTGTAGTACAGAAAGTAAAAAGTACCAAAACTAAAAGTTATAATATAAAAGTTGTAATATATATACAGTATATATATATATATATATATATATATAGATATATTATATATATCTATGTTTCGTTCTCACAATCTGTAAAGTCTACAAAACTTCAAACTTCAAGCATTTTGCTTTACAAATGTTTCTAGTTAAAAATAACAATTATATGAACTTAGCAGAATTAAAATCCAAATATTTAAAACTGCAACTCAAAGAGCAATTATGTATACTGTTTGCCACCTATATTAAAATGCAGGTATTTAATTGGAATATGATGGATGGATGGGTAGGTAGGAAGGTAGATAAGTAGGTGGGTAGGTAGGTTGTGATGGATGGATGGATGGATGGATGGATGGATGGACGGATGGATGGGTGGATGAATGGATGGATAGGTAGGAAGGTAGATAAGTAGGTGTTAGGTTGTTGGATGGATGGATAATAGATAAGTGAATGGGTGGATGGATGGATGGATGGATGGATGGATGGATGGATTGGTACGTAGGAAAGTAGATAATTAGGTGGGTAAGTAGGTTGTTGGATGGATGGATAGATGGATGGATCGATAAATATGTGAATTGGTGAATTTATAGGAAGGTAGACAAGTAGGTGGGTAGCTAGGTTGTTGGATGGATGGATGGATGGATGGTACTGTAGATGGATGGGTTGATGGATGGACAGGTAAGTTGATAGGAATGGATAGGAAGGTAGACAAGTAGGTGGGTAGGTAGGTTGCTGGATGGATAGATGGATGATTGGTGAATGGATAGGAAGGTAGATAAGTAGGTGGTTAATTAAGCTGGTAGATGGATGGCTGGATGGTTAATAGGTTGGTGGATGGATGGATGTAAAGTATAATAGGTAGGTGGATGGATAGATCTCTTAAACCTTAAGACACATTTGATTACTGGGGTCTTTTCTAGTCTGAAAAGACTTCAGAATCTCTATTCAACCTCCATTTAATCCCATTTCTGTCTTGGAAAAAAAATAGCGATATTAAAGAGATGTCATTTGTGATTTCTCTTTCCCACTTTCGCAATAGTGCGAAACAGAATTGCAAAAGTCCATTATCTTCTCGAGCTGCCTGTTCATAGTACGTGGGAGACTCAGAAAGCATTGTGTGCCCTGTGACGGCGAGCCAGCGCAGACCATCTGTGAGAGAACTAAATTAGAGCAGCGTCACCGAGCTCTTAAGATCACTTCCATTTGTCAGTGCATCTCTCTTGGCTCGGAACCACAGACCAGCCCGATCCATCTCACCACGTCTCCATATGCTCATGTGCTGACTCTCACTGGCACCACCGCTCACGCAGAGCAGGGGTCAAGCGGCTTCCGGCAGGGCCTCCCGTTCCACCCCGGCATTTCTCCATTAAAAGCAGAAAGCATTACAGTTCATCATGCTGAGAAGTGACTTCTGTTTTTTTTTTTTTTTTGCTTGTTTCATGTACATGTCCGCAGGATAGGAAAATCCCGAATGAGATATCGTTAACATCTCAATTGCTTCTCCTTGACAGCAGTAATACTAAATCGATCGCAAATTAGCTAAGTGTTTTTTAGTTACACAGTTCTCCTGCTTCTTAGATTTACCTCCAGAGAAAAAGACCATTGCACGCGTCTCCTTTAGAGATTCAGAAGATATCTCGATAATGTCTCCAACTGTGCTCAGATTTGCCAAGATAACAGTGAGAGATTTCAATATGAATTCAAATTCTATCAAACCAAATGGTCTGAGATTCTATTTACATTCATTTTCAACCCAGGCTGGGAAAATGTGGTGACAATTCTACAGCAGTGTTATTTTAGTATCACTGAAATACTATAGTATTAATAAATATTTTGAATTATTTTTTATTTTTATATATTTTTTGTTTTCATTTAAATTTTTGTTATATATTTGTTTAGCTTTGTTTTTAATATGCCTAGTTTTTATTTATTTTTTAATATGCATTTTTTATTTATTTATTTTTTTCAGTTCAGTTATTTTGTTGTATGTTTGTCATTTTGCGTACATATTTATTATTATTTTGTTTTATTAATATTTTAGTTTTAGTTATTTTAGTATATCAAGTTAAACTAAATGAAAGAAAAAAACATGCCAATTTTATTTTATTTTATTTCAGTTAATGTTCATTTTATTTTAGTTACCGTTAACATAAAATTATGGTTTTAGTTTTAGTTAACTATAATAATCCTATACAGAATGATATGTTGCTTCTTGCATGTTTCGAGTGGCCCCAAAAAGCACGTTCAGTTTTATCCGAAATGGATTAACTTGAATCTGGCAGTGTTTATTATGTTGGTTGTTGCACGTAATGCGGCTGTTGGGAAATTAAATATCCAGTGAGTGATGCTAAAATTGTAATGCGTTATTATTTTTGAAAATAATGTACCACCCACACTAAATGGGATTCTAAACCTAAACGACAGCATATGAGAGATTTAAAAAATGCATTTGCTGAAGCAACCGTGCCATTTTACCTTGTTTCTACATGTCTTTGAGCACTTTTATCATGACTCATGTTTAACAGACTTGTACCACATCACTAGTACATTGCTGTACCAGGTGTGCTACATATCAACTTTACTACATCAGAGAAGCCACACATATAGAGCTGGTTATGTAATGCAAATGTCAAAATATATTATTTTCAAATCATGCACTATGGTAAAGTGTTTTAAGGTCATAACAGTTTTGTGCAAGGAACCACACAAAAGTAAGTCTTTATTAATTGATAATCTGCCCAATAATCATAATTTGTTTGAAAGGAACAAAAGTTGTTGGTGTTTTACTTCCATGTTCATTTCAGCTGGAAACTGCAGTGAATTGTATGTATAGGTATGTTTTAGGAGTTCTGAAAAATGTACATAGAGGCACAATTTTCTAGTGTGCCTACAGTAGATTGTTCATTATATTGCTCTGTACTTTTACTGTATGTCAACAATTGTCTCATTTCTCTGAAGAAGAAACTTCTGAAACAGTTGAAACTTCAATGACAGGCTTGCTAGGAACCACATTTAATCATTTGAGTTATACGAAAGAGCAACTTCTGAGCAGCAATGTTTCCTCTGGGTTGACACATAATGAGATACGACAAGATTATATCAGTTTGTTGGCATACATTTCATAATATCATCACTCCAATGATGTGATGCATTTTCACACATAAAACCATGAACTGAAAACCTTTGATCCCAAACAGAGATACGACTGGCTGTCATGTCTAAATAAGAAAGTGTTATATCTGCAATTCAAAAAGCACTCACTCATATTGACTGTATGAAATCATGCATACAGATCTTTTTTTTTTTTTTAGTCTGACCCTGCCAAGCCAGTGGTTCAGATTTTTACTGGCCCCGTGGCAAAAATGAAAAATAAAATAACATATAAATGTTTTTACACCAGTCAATGTTTTTAAAGGGGTCATAGGATGCCCATTTTCCACAAGTTAATATGATTCTTTAGGGTCTTAATGAAAAGTCTGTAACATAGTTTGGTTAAAATTTCTCAATGGTAGTGTAAAAAACACCTTTTTTACCCTGTCAAAAACAGCTCTTTTCAGATCAAGCCGTTTTTGTAGCATTTTCCTTTAAATGTTAATGAGCTCTGTTGACCCCGCCCCTCTCTTCAAAGATTTTAGTAGATTATAGGGTGGGTGTGTACACACACTGCCAACACACATTTCAGTTCGAACAACTTGTAAAAGTGCATGTAGCATCCAATGAGCCCTTTAAAACATGTACATTATCAACAAATGTAAAATGTAGTGAGAATAAAGCAATTCATGGTACTTACGTGGCGCAGGGCGGCACCTCGTCCCCTTCAGGTTCACAGGCCTGGCTTTCCTCCAGCTGGGGACACTCAGACCCTCCTCCGGTAGGAAGCCGTATCAGCTGTCTGCTGCGGGAGTGTGTGCCCTGAGGAACACTAGGGTCTGAGCAGGTCTTTGAGCAGGAGCCCCACACGCTCCATTCACTGACCACACAGTCTTTAGTCATCAGGCAGGACTGGAACGTCTCCGGAAGACTCCAGTGGGGACACTGGCTGATACAGGACAGATGAGTAGAAGTACTGGTCAGTCAACATGACAAGATAATTCTTTTACAGTAATCAAGAACATATTTCAATGGTAGAAAAAAAACCTTCTTTACACCAGGGTTATTATTAACTAAAACCATTAAAAATATTCTCATTACTTGAAACAAGACAAAAAATTTACTGAAATAAAATAACACGAACATATATCGAAAAAGTTTTTGTTTAGTTTAAGTTGAAATACTAAAATAACTAAAACTAAATAAAATAAAAAACTAAAATTTGATAAAAACTACAGACATTAAAAAAACAAATCATATTATTAATTAAATAAATATGATCAATACTTATTTTTATTTTCAGCATTTTCAGCATTAGAGCATTGCTTGAAATTTCTGGGCAAATGTCAATTTTATTTAAAACAAATTAAAATAAGATAAAACAAAAAATAGAATTAAAATACAATATAACGTAATTAAGTATAATATTAAATATAATTAATAAAATAAAATTAGAATTATTTATAAAATAAAATAGTTCAGGGGTTCAACTAACAAATAAAAGAGGTGAACCCCTGATACCATCACTTTACCACAGTATCACTGCAATATTTTCTTTTTTGTAGAATTGTTTCAGAGGCTGGTAAATTAACGCTGGGCAGTGTGAATGCAGCAATTTCTCTTGGTGTCTTATTTTCTCTGTAGGCAATGCAGCTGACGAGCTATTACTGCTAATTACAGGCTGCTTCCTTTCCAGCGTAGCTTAATTTAGCAAACGCTCATTTAGGTGCCGTGGCTGCCAAACTCACCTCAGGGCAGCACAGACTCTTAAACACATAAACTTCAAAACTGGCACTGTTTTCCACCCACTTTAAACCCAGATTAAGATGTCTTGAAACCATTTAAAAATCTGGCAAAATAATGACACCATATTGCAGCACAATAACTCTTCCTGAGGTATAAAAGCGATAGTAGCCGTTGGTAAACTGTATTTGGCAGAAATGGAGAGTATGCCAGTCTGTTGCTGGAATTGCGATTGTGTGCTATAAAACAAATAGGGCTACTATCAAAATTGTGACTAGGGCTGGGCAAAATGTAATTAATTAACCAACACTAGGAAGAAAGATAAAAAGAAGCTACAAAACGGTCACCTTAAAAGTGTAAATTAGTACCTTCTGAAAGGATATCAACCCATTGACAGTTTTTTTTTCTCAGTGTAGTTAATAATTTTAATTTATATTCATTAGTGTAGCTATGCATGCCTGAAACCAATGGCAATAATTATCTAAATATATTTTTTAAATATTAAAAAATATTTATATACAATATTTAAAAAATATGTAATATTTGTTATATTTTAAAAACGATAATGTTTTTAAAACATATTTAAAATATATTTATATGTTAAAACTTTGATTGTAATATAAGAAAAACAGAGACTTCCAATATGATAATTTTTTATAGATTTTTTTAACGGATTAGTTTTTTGAGAATTAATTATGGTTAATATTAATAATTCATAACAGTGATTTTTAATGATTTGTAATAAATTAATGCATATTAATTATATAAATAAATATTAATATTAACATTAACTTTATAGTATTTATCAAATTATAAATATCATTAACTTTTGGACAAATGGAACTGATTAATGGAAATAAATCAAACTTATCAACTCTCAATGTTTGCTAAATAAGTTTAAGTGAAACATGAAAAAGGTTTCCATAATGTAATGTTTATACCAGGATATTCAACAATAAAAAAAAGTTTAGGGTGGGATTTGACTTTTCCTGAGTGTCAAATTGGTTTCAAACGGTGTTGTTCTACTGAAATGCGCTTTGCTGTATCACGAATTTCCCAATATTACTAACATGCATTGTTTTTATGCACTGGGGCGCACATTTTTGAGCTGTTGTTTACAGCTTGTTGATGGAATGAGGACACCATCATTTCCATTTAAATGAGAATGATGTTTCTCCTTTAATGTAAGAATAACTCAATTGTGGGAATTCAGGAGAACCTCTGCAGCAGCAGGAGCATTATGAAGACGTTCATCAAATCCTAAATAAAATTAGCAGGAAATACTCAATTAAACAATGCTATTGTATGCATAACGCTGAGCAAAGGTATATGATTTACAGACTTTGGTTTTCGAGTGCATGTGTAAAGCCACAAACACAAAGAACTAGTACAACAGATGAGATGTCTGGCAAAATATTACACTAAGAACTGTTGGGTTTACTATACTGACAAAAGCATAGTAATGAAACAGAATAAGAATGGTGTGAATGGTTTGTTTGTGATGGTCTACTGGCTGATCACAGAGAAAGTGCTTCAGAAAAACTTTTTTCCACTTTCTTGAAGAAGCAAAACAGCTATGAATATTTCA